AGCAAAAGTCATTGTGATCTCTACGGAGCCTTTTCCTAGACCTGTTCGTCTTTTCTCCTTCTTCCGCCAACAGTGCCCAGGAAACCCCAGGTGTGTCACTGCAAAACGAAGCTAATTAGCTGTGAGCCCTAAAGTCACAAAGTCAGCTGTTGTGTACACACCCCTGGGTAGCTGAAATGGTTCCCACTTATCACCAGGTCACCAGGAAAATTAGTGACTCACTTGTTATTGCAAATATAGGCAGTAAACAACTCCGAGTGATGCTCAGAGGTTCCTGCCCCAGGTTTCTGTCGAGGGGCAGAAAGGGTTAGGGTTAGGGAGTTAGGGGGTAGATTTACGGTTCCAAGTGGGCAAAGAAATCCCGTTCAGAATTTGGTCTTCCCAGGGACTCTAACCACACTTGATTCCATAAGGACACCATAAACACAGTCCAGCTTCCTCTGCTGTTTATGTCAAACGGATGAATTGACTGAGGAAAATTCTGTGTCAGAGTCTGCCACAAGTGCACCGCTTTCTTGCTGGGATTTTTCACCAGCCCCTCTGACAAACCCTGAACTGGATTTTAATGCCACATAAGAAGTGGATGGGTTGTGGCAAGACGGATAGTGGGACTAGGAAGAGATGCCCCAAGGAATTTAAGAATTGCCACAATGGATCGGTTCATACTTTCGCGTCTCCTTCCCTCGTAAAGCAGATGTTCATATTTTTTCTTTTAGCACAGAAATAGCAACAAAAGCAAATTGAATAACTCTGGCCAAGTCTTTCCTGGAAGTCACAATGGTACATGGTGCCACCATCTTGTCTCACATGGGATGTGAGTATGTGAGAGGAATCACCTCCTGTCTCCAAAACGGTGACAATGAAGCTAAAACAAAAGAACCTCTTACCTTTTGCTTTTGTTTTGGCAGGGATAAAGTGCCGATGTCCGGGTTGCATGCCACAGAGTCACGGAGCTGAAGCCCAGATGGTACCGTTAGATCATCTCTAATCTGACAACCTGTGTAACACAGGCTGCAGAATTTCACCCAGTTGCACTGTATGGAGACCCGTAACTTATAACTTATGCTTGGCTAAAACATCTTCCGGAAAGCTATCTGGTCTTGCTGTGAAGACTCTGAGGGATGGAGAAGCTATCATTTCCCTTCAGAGTTTTTTCCAGTGGTTTGTTTTCCCTGTTGAAAATGTGTGACTTATTTCTAATTTCCAAGTGTCTGGCTTCTGCTTCCAGCCCGGGGTTCTTATTTCTTTCTTTGCTATGTAAGGGTACGTCTAGACCAGTGGTTCTCAACTCGTTTCAGTCCACGGACCACCAGGCCAATCAAAAAATTTTCGAGGACCACTTCCTTTTGGAGACATGATAAAAAAGAGCAGACAACGAACATTTTGGTTTGAAATTTATTTCTTACTAAAAGATTTTTGGTGCCTGCCCACGTCGTGTGACTTTGGACAATGTTCCTGTGGGGGTATGTCCATAGAGTGTAGATATACCTCTAGGGATGGAGATTCCACCCCCTCCCTAGGGAACCCAGCTCAGCGCTTCCCCGCCCTCCTAGGGAAATCGTTTGTCCTAATATCCAACCTAGACCTCCCCCACTGTAACGTGAGACCATTGCTCCTCGTTCAGCCACCTACCACCCCTGAGAACAGCCTCTCTCCAGCCTCTTTGGAACCCCCCGTTCAGGAAATTGAAGGCTGCTCTCAAATCTCCCCTCACTCTTCTCTTCTGCAGACTCAACAAGCCCAAATCCCTCAGCCTCTCCTCGTAGGTCATGTGCTCCAGCCCCCTAATCATTTTGGTCGCCCGCCGCTGGACCCTCTCCAACGCGTCCACATCCTTTCTGTAATGGGGGCCCAGAATTGGACGCAATACTCCAGATGTGGCCTCTCCAGTGCCAAATAAAAGGGAATAATCACTTCCCTAGATCTGCTGGCAACGCTCCTCCTAATGCAGCCCAGTATGCTGTTAACCTTCTTGGCTATAAGGGCATCCTGTTGACTCCTATCCAGCTTCTCGGCCGCTGGCATCCCCAGGGCCTTTTCTGCTTAACCTGTCGGGCCGCTGGTGAGGGCCCTGACTTTTTAAGGATGGCTCCATCTCTCAACTTTTCTCCTCATCAGGGACAGCTTCTGTAGGGCGGAAACGTCGTCCCCTTTAGGGATGATCCCAGTGCAACCCACACACCTGCTGGGTTCTCTATCCCATTGCTTCCCAGTTGGTGCTCCATGGAACCCCAGGGTTCTGCAAAGTGAAAGTACGGGTTCCGCGAGAACGTGGCATTGCCCCACCCCCTCTTAAAGAGACAGAGTATTTTGCAGGGTTTTTTTTGCTCAACCAATTCTGGAGGGGCTTTTTTTTTTTTTCGCTTGCCAAATTTTACTCTGGGAACCCTAGGGGTTCCTTGAAATTATTTTAAGCTGAAAAGGGTTCTGTAGCCAAATAAAATCAGGAAACACTGCTCTATCCCATGGAGGGGCACTTAGACCACTCACAGAGAGAGAGACTGCGTTTGCTCTGTAGCCGTAGCTGAGCACCAGTTGGCTGTTAGCTCAGGCTGGAGAGGCTCCAGAGGTCCTGGTTCTGTTCCACCTGTCGGTTCCCACCGCTGGGTTTTCTTTGTGCTTGTTCAAAAGAAGGACACAAACTCCAAAGTATAAGTCAACTTTATTCTCATATAAAGTAAGAACGTGAACAGTCTAGTTCAACAACAACGCATCATTTGGTCAGATGTTATCAAGACGTAATCTCACACAGTGAGCATGCCCTGACCACCGTGTTTTACACCTGGCAGCCCAGAATTCGACTGGGCTTTTATTACAGCATAGATATCAGGGGCCCACGGTGTTGGTGGCCGGGGCGGGGGGGTGGAGTGTGTGTGGAAATATGCAGTTCATTCATTCACATTTGGTTTTAATGTGGACATCTGGTCAGCCCAGGTCCTTGCATTAGCTGCTTTCAGCCTCCCATTTTCCAGCACATCAGATCGATTTGTAAAGGAGAAACTCATTAAAGGAGCTTCATGCACAAAAGCGGCATCCAGAGGTGTTTGTGCGTGACGCAGGAGCCCTGCCGACGTTGGGAAAGTAGGCACTTCTGAATGTATCGGAGCAGCTCTGAGGGCATTTGTGCGTGGGGTTTTCTCACGAGCACCAAGTGAACTTTCGCTGCTTCCCACCTCGAAATCTCTCCCAGGCTGTTTGGACACTTTCGCCAATTTCCCCTTCTCCCAGACGCCAAAGTTGGTTTGGCTGATTCTGAGGAATTTGGCCTCATGCGTGTCACCCCGGGGTGATTCACAAAAATAATTAGAGACGGGCCTGAACCTAGACCCGCCCCCCCCCAATCTAAACACGCCCCAAATGTTGCGAGAGTTCGGTTCATCATCAGGACCTGAATCCGGTAGGTTAAGCTCTAAGCATAATATAATATAAGGGTTGATTGCTGTCTGAACTACTCTAGCAAACAGAGAGACTAAGGGCCTGATCCTACTCAACTCAAAGCAAAGCAGAGCTTTGGTTTGTGACCTTGAGCGATTAAGGCAATTTACCGTTAGTCTGGATGCAACACAACAAAACGGGTTTACAGCCTTTTCCTCCAGGGCCAGAGGTAGCTCCAGCTGATACCTGTTAAGATTCTGGTTCCGGCTGGCTTTTCTTCCTTTAAACAGTGGCTGAATCCGGACTCAAACTTTGCAGCTGCCCTCCATCACAGGCCGTACCGAAACCTCTGAGCCAAACGCCCACCCCCAAACGGCGGAGAAAGTCCAAGCAAGTTCCAAAACTGAGTGATTCAGGCCCCACTCTAATGATTCGATTTCCAAATATTGTTTGCATGTGGGGCTGAGGGGGGGGGGATTCTGAGCCCCGATACTGAAAATGTAGAGACGAGAGGCTGGGTTTTGTTGTTAGCGTTGCTGTGGAGTGTGGGGAGGGAGACCCTTTGCCAACAGAGGACAGAGAGAGAAGGAAAAAAGCAACGGAGCCGTGGCCTCATTCTAACCCCCCACATCCTTTTTTCGCCCGCCACGTCACAGTGATAGGTCGACAAACTTGTCAGTCCTAAAGTAAACATGCGATGACCAACTAGAGGCTTCGGGAGGCAACTAGAGGCAAGATGGTGAGGAATCTCCCTTGTTCACGGCCAGGCCTTCTCTGGCCATGACCAGGACCCCCTTGGGGAGGTAGGAGACCCAAAGGGTCCTCCATATGGAGCCAACTGAAAGGTTTGCTCTACCGCAGGCTGACTTGTAAATGTCTCAGCTACAGGAAACCCTCCCCCGAAAATACTTTATAAGTCAGTGCGCCCGGCTGGGACAGAGGAGTCAAAGGTTACTCACATCTCCGGTGTGGGACCCTTACTACTAACAAGAGTCTCTCGTCCCATGAGGGGTGTCCTTTTCAAAGGGACATCCCAGGACCGGGCTTTACCTATTCACAGAGCTCTCCCCACTCCTGCAGCGGGCTGCCCCTGCTGTGTGTGTCTCCATTATTTTACCTATGCCAGGTGGGCGGACAGTCTCACAGGGACGGGCTCTCAGCAGATCACCAGCCCGTGCTGGAAACGCTTTGAGGGTAACTTGCCATGGGGCACATGGACATTTCTAGCCCCGGGGAGCTGACACGTGGTAAACATTTCAGCACCTCCCATCCGAGCTGTTTCTAAAAGAAGGGGATGTTTGAGCGGCAGGGAGATGGATTTTATTTTATCCTAACAGATGCCCCCATCTCTAATGAAAAAATCCCCTTCTGCCTCTTTCCTCTCGCAAGGCCCAAATTCACCCGCAACTGCCTTCCCCCTATCCTTACTGGCCCTTAGAGCAGGGGTTCCCAACCTGGGGTACGCGTAGACGAGAAGTCTTCCAAAGGGGTACGGGGAATATTTGGTAAATAACTAGATTCTCCTAATTGAAATATTCCAAAAGTAGTAGTGTTAGTGAAAAAAGTTGTGGATTCTAGAGTCTAGAATTTATTTCCTTTCATATTGAATAGAGGCTACGGGAAGGTTTACTAAAAGCCAAGGGGGTACGGGGACCGAAAAAGTTTGGGAACCCCTGCCTTAGAGAGAGGAAGGGACAGGTATTTGGAGTAGATTTTTAACTCTAGATCCTATTGGGATTCACTTATCCCAGCCTCCAGCAGTTGGGATCTGCTTTGCTCTCTTTAGTTTGACAGGATACCCATTATTCCCGATATTCTTCAAAAGCCGGAAGGATTTACATAGTAAGAGCACGCCACTGATCCATCCCTCTGCAATGTTTTGGGGCACCCCCGACAGCTGGAAGCATCCCTAACCGAGAGTGAAGGAAGTAGACAGTGAGTAGCTGAATAATTACCAAAAAAAACCACACCCTAATGGATTCTTGTAAAAGAAATACAATTCTTTCTAAATTAAGTTTCACCTCTGAAAGGGGAATCATTTGAGTCATCGGCGTCTGCTTGAGGAGAACACACAGGGTTTCTTCGCTTTTCCCCTCTGTTACGCAACACAATAAATAGACGCCCCCAAATCCCCTGGGGCCCTCACTAATTGCTCGAAGATCACAGCCCCTGCGGCGTTGGTTCTGTACAATCACGCTCCTGTTTTCTTCTGAACGTGCTGGGCCGGGTCCGAAGCGCAATGCAAAAACGTGGTTGCTTTTGTCGACGGACGGCCTCTTCAGCCCTGGAGCGGAGTGGGTCCCCAGGAAATGCAGGAGGACCCTTTCCACGAACTCCCCCGGGGGTCCTACAGGGCGGGGAGGGGGGGCAGGAAGGAGAGGCGTTTTCAGTCACACCACAGTGCTGATAGTGGAGGATTCCTCCGACCTCTGCGGCTTGCTAGGCAAGGACTTCAAGTACTCAAGGTGCCGCCGGGCGTCTTCCTGGTTCTGCCGGACGTAGTAGACCAAGTAGGAGATCACCATGGCGAACCAGCCGAACATGGTGACCAGCATGGCTATGTCCGTGGTCTTTTTGTAAACGCTGCAGAAGTCCGTGTCGGTGACCACATGCAGGAAGGGCTTGCCCACGTGCTCCTCCTTGACCGAGGAGTCGCAGACGATGCTCCCAGAGGACCCGGTCACCAGGTCCACGGTCCTGATCAGCTCCTGGAGTTTGCAGTCACACAACCATGGGTTGCTGGAGAGATTGACCTTGGCCTTCAGCCCGCTAAAGACATCCTTGCTGACCGACACCAGCTTGTTGGAGGACAAATCCAGGGAGTGCAAGCGCTCCGACAAGCCCCGGAAAGCCCCGCCCTCGATGCGGACGATGGCGTTGTGCGACAGGTCCAGCTCCAGCAGGACCGGCAGGTGCCGAAAGGCATCCAGGGGCAGGGAGGGAATCTGATTGAAATCCAGGTAGAGCTTGTTGGTGTCGTTGGGGATGTCCTGAGGGATCTCCGTGAGCTGAGCGTTGCTGCACCGGAAGGTTTTGTAGCCGTCCTCCTCCGCGGGGTAGCAGCCCTTGGGGAAGGTCGTGGCCGAATGGAAGCAAAAGGTCATCAGGACGAAGCTTTGGAGAAGCAGCCACATGGTCACCGAGTGGCGGAGGAACCAGTCTACTAGAGGCATGGTGGGGTGTCTGCATAACCCTGCGGCCACTTGCTTATCAGCTGTCTCTCAAGCGGGCTGCTGGAGTCATTGGATCTAAGTAAGAGAGAGAAGGGGGAACAGATAAACCATGCTAGACAGGGAGGAACAGTGCGGCTTTGCACATGGAGAGCAGAGATCTGTGCACCTTCAGGAGATCTGGGGTCTGGTCTTGTGTTTCCCTGTACGTTGAGCCCTTGGGCAACCACCCAGGAGAGATTCTAATGCCACCCAGGTGATTAGCAGAGCGCCCACAGCAGCCCGCATGTGTTTCTACAGGGTGGTGCACATTCACATATGCCTTGGTGCACATAATAAAATTTATTCTGCACATGGGTGAAAAAACCCTAGAGGGCACGTTGGTCCCACATTTACTGGTAACCCTCTTTGGAGAAGCAGCACTGCTTGGGGAGACACCACACAGACCCCTAAGGGGCCTTCTGTAGCTATGATGTGGTCCAAGTCCTTTATTCTCGCGGCAAGTGAAAGCGTGCACGCCACTTTGTCAGAAGTGACCAACAAAATGAAACCCCCTCGTAGGGGGAGGAAGTACCATGTCGACAAAAGTGCGGGCCAACGGCGTGCACCCAGCCCGACTTACAACGACGGGGCTGGGTCGACACAGCCGTGTGTCTAGACACTGAAAGTGTAGAAGACACCTGCTGAGTCTGGGGAGTCTATGCGCCTGTACTAAGCCATGCCAAGGGTGTTCCCTGTTCTGGCACTCTGAGTGCCGAAGGTGGGGCCCGCAAGGGATCTTAAAATGCCCTGCTGCTAAAGGCTTCTGCTTAAAAGGGTCACGGGCTCTCTGAGCTTGGATGTTACGCTGCCACCACCCAAATGCAAAAACTCCCTGAAGCCAGGAAGAACGTCCCCTTAGGGGGTAGCCCTGGCAGGATTAGCCCCCTGCTGAGCACAGCATCACAGCTCCGGGGAGGCCAGAAAAATCCCGACTCCAGTGAATCAATGTGAGTTTTGCCATTGGTTTCAGCGGGGCCCAGACTTCACCCCGGGACTCCAAGCTGGGAATAAGCAGCAGCGGTAGCCAAATCCTGAGGTCAGGCAAACAGCCTTTTAATAAAGCCAGCAAGGAGACCAGAAGGCAGAAATATTTGAGATAGGAACAAGTTGTCAGGGGCTCCTCCAACTGCGCATCCTCTGCTGTGCTATATACCCTCCAGTGCCAGCAATGCCCCTCTGCCATGGATATCGGCCAAACCGGACAGTCTCTGCACCAAAGGATGAATAGACCCAAATCAGCCATCAGAAATGGTAGCACACACTCACAAACCTTAGGGGACATTTTCACCTGCCGGGGCACTCAGTCATGCATGTAAAAGTAGCCAGTCTGCTACAAAGGAATTTCACTAACCAGTTACAGAGAAAGGCTCCAGAACTGGAATTCATCTACAGATTTGACACTGTTACCCTGGGCTTGAATAAAGACATGAATTGGTTGGCACATTACAAAGCCAATTTCTCCTGCCTTTAACATCAGCTTTTGATGTGAAAATGCAATGTATGGGACACACCCAGCCCACTTAATTAGCCTCATTCACACAGGTCCTACAATTGACAGGTACTTCTTCTGCTGATATATAGATCTCTTGATTTCTATTATTTCCACTCCAATTCATCTGATGAAGTGGGCTTTACCCATGAAAGCTCATGATTCTATTTTTGTTAGTCTCTACACTACGGTGGAAGGGCAAATTAAGATATGCAATTCCAGCTATGTTAATTACATAGCTGGAGTCGACAGAGCTTAAATCACGTTTCCATGCCGTTCACACAACAGGAAGCTGATGGGAAGTCGCTCCCTTCGACTTTCCTTGCTCCTTGCAAAAGGAGTACCGCATGCCAGCCGGAGCTGCCCTCAGCATTCAATTGATGGGTCTATATTAAACATGCTAAATTGAATGCCAGCAGAATTACCTCTGGCGTGTCGATCTTCCATGTAGCATAGACGTGACCTAAGGTGCCACAGGACTACTCATTGTAAAGTTACAGACGGACACAGCTACGCCTCCCTGGATTTGTCTGTTGATCTATAATTAGGGGTCTCTTACAGATTGATTTCGGAGCACAAAGACTCACCTACAGAATTGTTATCAAGGCTGACCTTGCTGAGGTTTTGAATGCCAACAACTCAAACAAGCCATTTCCTTTCATCTCTCCCAGAAGATGCAAGCCTAAAGCGAGTATTTCCGGGGTGCCTTTGCTTTTGAGCCTGACCCCAGCAAAAGTTGGCTGACAGATTGCCACTGGCCCCAGCCCTGCGGGTTCACACGCGGGGGAGGCTGGCATTTTGCCAACATGTCCCGTCATGTCACCCGTTTTGGGTGGCCCCCATGAAACGCTGTAATCGCATTCTCCATCCAGCTCTTTATTCCAGAAGGGAAGAACGTCAGCACGGGAGAAACAAAAACGGAAAAAGGAAACTTGCTGGAGCAGAGCTTGCAATATGTTCCCAGGGTGGAGATAGCAGATAAGGGCTGCTCTGTGAAATCGACAAGGGCGTCACCCGCCCGCCGGCACCAGCCTCCACACTGAAAAAGCCCCCGTATTTTTTAGCCTGACAGCAACTCCCGTCCCATAACAGCAATAACAAAGCAAAGGAGACACCGAAACTGTGGCCTGATTCATTCCCTGGTTGAAGGTACATACAGGGAAGGGTGTCCACATGGTCACTGAATTTAAAAACCACAGGAGAGAGTTCCCCCAGGAGTGGTTCAAATGGGGCAGGGACTGAGGCATGCTTTGAAAAGCTAATGCAGGCTGGTGAGTGTCTCTCTTCCAGATACTAACCCCCATCAAGATTTGTCCCCTGCCTTTCACAGAGGTTTAAAATTACAGCACTACAAGGGCAAGAGGAAACAGATACTGCATGCAGATGTGGCCGCCTCATCTCGGAAACAATATCTTGGCGTTGGAGAAGGGCAACAAAACTGATGGAACGGGCCCCTTATGAAGAGAAATTAAAAAGACTGGGACTTTTCAGCTTAGAAAAGAGGAGACTAAGGGGGGATATGGTTGAGGTCTATAAAATCATGGTGTGGAGAAAGTGAATAAGGAAAAGTTATTTACTCGAGAGAAAAGATTTAAAAATTTTATATTGAAACTAACTTGGCCATGGTGCTCTTTCATGTTGCGATCAAGCTTATAGTTATAACAATTTAAATATACAGCACTATGAATTATTCTTAGGGCTTGATTCTCTCCTTTGTGCACAACTCAGAGAAGTAGGTATAGTTTTCTCCTCTTCATGGACAGCACAACTTGCAGCACATACTTCTGTTTGTCAGGAAATGGATGACAGGAGGGGGATCATTTGATGATTCCCTGTTGTGTTCCCTCCCTCTGGGGGATCTGGTATTGGTCACTGTCGGCAGACAGGATACTGGGCTGGATGGACCTTTGGTCTCACCCAGTTTGGCCGTTCTTATGATAGTTTGATGCAAACTAGGCTTCCAAGCTGGAAGGCAATGCAGCAGACAAGGAGTTTGTGCAGGCAGTGTTAAGGCTGAGAAATGACCCAGGGCGGTAAGGAGCAAATGTGCACTTCCGAACCCTTGGCTGAGTTGGGGCCGGGCGGAGGAAAAGTCCCGCCACAAAAAAGAACTGGTGGGAGAATTCTGGCTGATTAACTAGAATCCAGCTGTAAGTCCTGGAGGGGATGTGGGCTGCGGGGACACAGCATCTCTGACCTCTGAAAGGTGGCAGACCTGACGCAACCCCTTATTTTGGGTGACTGGCCCTGCCACGAAATCTCCCCACTCCGCCATCCACGGAGAACTCTTTGCTCCCCTGAGAGTGACAAGATCCATCCAAGCTGTGGACCTGTCTTCGCACAGGCATCGGATGGCTCGGGGAACCAGCTTGGAGACCTAGAGAATTTCACTGCTTAGCAGTGACTGTGGGAGCCTGCTCAGAGATTTGTGCAAAAGCTGCTTGGAGTTCTGAGCTCAGACAGCCTCCGCGGGGCCCCAAGAGAACTCTTTGCTCCCCTGAGAGTGACAAGATCCATCCAAGCTGTGGACCTGTCTTCGCACAGGCATCGGATGGCTCGGGGAACCAGCTTGGAGACCTAGAGAATTTCACTGCTTAGCAGTGACTGTGGGAGCCTGCTCAGAGATTTGTGCAAAAGCTGCTTGGAGTTCTGAGCTCAGACAGCCTCCGCGGGGCCCCAAGGCAAAGTGTGGGGACAGGCGACTCCATGCTTCAGGAAGGGGCGGAGTCTCGGGCAAAAAGGGGCGGGGACTGCAGAAGCCAGCCCTTAGTGCCATCCAGAGCACACCACAGTAGCGTTGGACGGAGCCCCGGGCCCCTTTGAGTCGCTAGGTCCCGGGGCAATTACCCCCTTTGCCTCCCCTGTCGGCGGGCCTGGGCAGAGGGTCCCCATTACGAAATCGCCCACTGCAACAGGCCCTGCAGTGGCAGCTGTATAAACTCCCCTCCTTGCAGAGACTGATCGATTCCAAGGAGACAGGACTGCTGAGCTCATCTGGTCTAACCCCCTGTATTATAACCCAGCTCAGAAACCTGCCTCCAAATAATTCCTGCTCGAAGGAGAGCAGGTCTGTTAGCAAAACCTCCAGCTTTGATTAAAAAGTCCACCCCCAATCTTTGGTGAGTTGGTCCATCTGGAGTTCCCGACTCACGCTGAGCGCATGGCCGCCTGCCCAGGAGAAATTCAAATGCCAACAAGCTGCTTACCGGAGTGCCCACAGCTGGCAGCAGGTATTTCTACTGACAGTGCACATCTGCACATGCCTCGGTGCACAGAACAAAATTTCCTCCATGCATGGATGGGAAAAATTGAGGGAACATTGACTGGCACATCACTATCTTTCATCTGTTTAGACTCATCACATCCCTGTGAGGAAGGGCAGGGCTATTATCCGCATTCTGCACAGGGAGAACGGAGGCCAGGAGTCAGGAGATGCTAAATGACTTGCCCAAGGTCACACAGAAAGGCAGTAGCAGAACAAGGGCTCACATGCAGGTTTTCCAAGTCCTACGCTAATATCTGAACCACTGCCCCATTCTTCCTCACTAACTTTGTACCTCATTTGCATGGGACAGGAGCCAATGTTCCCAGAGAAGAGCAACAAAAAATGATTATAGGTCTAGAAAACATGAGCTATGAGGGAGGACTGAAATAATTGGGCTTATTTAGTTAAGAAAAGAGAAGACTGAGCGGGGACATGATAGCAGCTTTCGAGTACCTAAAAGGGTGCTATAAGGAGGAGGGAGAAAATTTGTTCTCCTTGGCCTCTGAGGATAGGACAAGAAGCAATGGGCTTAAATTGCAGAAAGGGAGGTTTCGGTTGGACATTAGGAAAAACTTCCTGTCAAGATGGTTAAATAGTGGAATAAATTGCCTGGGGGGGGTTGTGGAATCTCCATCCCTGGAGATATTTAAAAGCAAGTTGGACAGACACCTGTCAGCGATGGTCTAAACAGTGCTTGGTCCTGCCATAAGGGCAGGGGGCCGGACTCCATGACCTCTCAAGGTACCTTTCTATTCTATGATTATCTTTTCCGTCCATGTGCGAATTCTTCCCTCCCCTGGTGGAATACATTTTGTTATACGCACCACGATGCATGCAAATGTGCACCAGCAGTGGAAAGAAAACCTAGCTGTGGGCACCTCTGCGAATCAGCTGGGCAGCATCGGAATTGCTCTTGAGCAGCTGCAGAAGTACCCAGCTTACAGGGACCACTAAGAGGAGCATCCAGCATCCTTTGAGTGGTCAGAGTACCATCGATGGACTCGGGAGGAGATACATCCAGCTTTCTCCAGTAGAAGAGGGAGATGCCATCCAGTGGGCTATTTTAGCTGGGGCATGAAAAGTGAGTGTGGAAAATAGAGAACTGGTAACCCCAACCACTGACTGTCTGGCGTGGGTGATAAGCCCTGATACCTGCAGCCACACACAGCACAGACACTGAACAGGACTGTCTTTCCGGTGGGTTGCAATGTGTATTCCTGCACATCCAGCAGCAAGCTCTGCAGGAGTGAGACGCATCTGTGAATTAGTCCTGAAACCCCCAGTCTGTCCAGTGGGTTCAAATGAAGCTGAAATACCCTATTTCGAAACAGGGATGCAAATGAAGACATTCGAAATTGCAAATGAATCCGGGATTTAAATATCCCGTGCTTCATTTGCATATTCACGTTATGGTGCTATTTTGAAATAACAGATGCTGTTAAGATGCGGTTATTTCGAGAGAAAACCCTTCTCTCGAAATAACCCGTATTCCTCATACAATGAGGTTTACCAGTTATTTCGAGAGAAGGGCTTTCTCTCGAAATAACCGCATCTTAACAGCGTCTGTTATTTCGAAATAGCGCTATTTCAAAACAGTGCCATAACGCGAATATGCAAATGAAGCATGGGATAGTTAAATCCTGCTTCATTTGCAATTTCGAATGTCTTCATTTGCATCCCTATTTCGAAATAGGGTGCAAGTGTAGACATACCCTTTGGATACATATAGAGTGCAAGCCTCTTTCGAAAAAGCCTCTTTTGAAAAAGAGCGTCTAGACTACAATCAGGAGTTTTGAAAAAGGAAGCCACATTTTCGAAAGAGAGCATCCAGGCAGTCTGGATGCTCTCTTTCAAAAAAGCACAGTTTGCATTACGTAGTACCTTTTATCGAAAGAGCACTTTCAAAAAAAGGCGTTATTCCTCATAAAATGACGTTTTCCGCGGTCAAAAAAACTGCCGCATGCTTTTGATTTACTTTTGAAAAAACGCGGCAGCAGTCTAGATGCAGGGGAAGTTTTTTCGAAAAAAGGCCACTTTTTTTCCAAAAAAACCCTGTAGTCTAGACACACCCTTAGTGAGCAGTGAAAACAGGCAGAAAAAGATTGTGACAGACATAGCGCATCCCTTTTTTCATGAACCTTTCTGTGTCCGAAAGAAAGAAAGAAAGAAAGAAAGAAAGAAAGAAAGAAAGAAAGAAAGAAAGAATCATTTAAAAATATAACTGCAGTATACCTCCTGCCTTAATACGCCAAGGCCCTGCAAGAACAGTGCCTTTTCTACAGCCACCCCAGTGCTATTCAATGGAAATCAGCTTGCAGATGAGAAAATCTTCTGCCGATTAGTGGAACAATACCCCGTACGTGTTTTAACCGGCAGGGTTTTAACCGGCAGGGGCCAGGGAAGTTTTTCCCCCTTCCCCTGAGCAAAGAGATCTTTGCCAGAAGACGATCCCACTCATGCGAGAGAGAAACTCTTCCACTTCTGTCATATGGATCAGCAGCATTTATCACCGCCTCAGATGTACCGGGAGGCTCCTCCAGGGACAAACCCTCGAAAGTTCGACCGAAAACGCAATGGCAGACTCACGCCTGGGGGTGTGGCAGCCGGACGATACAGCTGACAGGAGGTAGCTCCCTGACAGGGCAGTTTACTCTGGAGACGAAAAAGGCTGCACATTCTCTTGGCCAGGGATTGTGATGCTGCACTGTGGCAGAAGGGGGATAACTAACAACAGCTGGCAGGTCGGGGGATTTTCCTGCGCTTTTTCCCACATTTAAAACACGTTTCAAGGAGAACATGACTTTCGGACGATACAGCTGACAGGAGGTAGCTCCCTGACAGGGCAGTTTACTCTGGAGACGAAAAAGGCTGCACATTCTCTTGGCCAGGGATTGTGATGCTGCACTGTGGCAGAAGGGGGATAACTAACAACAGCTGGCAGGTCGGGGGATTTTCCTGCGCTTTTTCCCACATTTAAAACACGTTTCAAGGAGAACATGACTTTG